TGAGATTAAAGTAGACAATGACTACAATGTTTACCAGTATTTTCATTCTATAAAAGCAGTGTGTTGTTGAGAGGGTGGAGTTATTTAAAGCAGTGAAGTCGTAACACAGATGTGGTCCGAGTGGTCAGTGCCAACAGATGATGGAAATTAGACAATGATTTGTTATGAAATTATATTGACCTTGCCTAGTACTACAAATTAGATTACAACCAGTGTATAATTAACATAAGGGAGTATTTCGGGCTACGCCCTCACAAAACATACGCCTGTCTGTTTCCTACATTTGGCCGAGCTGGACATGTTTAAAACGGTTCTATTTTGTTTTGGATGTATCCCTGTTTGTTGGTTCAATAAGGAAAATCATATCAGCGATGCACAATGCTATGCAAACTTGGTATGACAGAATTAATTCCTTGCCTAAACTCCGTACCTGCCAGAAAAATATATAAGTTGCCTCTCCCTTAATTACTCTGACTCGATTTTGACGTCTTGTGCATGTACCAAATATTGAGAAAGATGGATATATTGCCATTGACGAGAGAGTGTGTAATTAGAATATTCAAAGAAATCTGTAATGAAGATGAATAGAGTCTGTCAACAGTGTGAAATATACGAAAACAAAACGTGCCAGTGTGATGTAACTTCATTCACTTACATCACGCAGTCAAATCATATCATTATAAAGTACAAAGGATTTTGTGTCCGTTTTAAGGTTTTGTTTCACTCATAGGCAATGAACACGAATGCACAGTATAGAAGTAGTGTATCTCCATTATTTATCCATCCAAAAACAAACTATGAGAAATGTTCAATAATTTTGCAGATAAAATGTATCACATGGTGTGGGCCAATGAGCTGAGCAGCAGCATTTCCTAGAATAGTCTCCAACACGAGATAAACGTGAAAGAAAACAGCATGACGACAGAACACATATTTATCATGATACATGACGATAAATTACATCCATCGTGTAGATTGACAGAGATTATTGTTGTAGACTATTAGTTTTTGTTTTGTACGATAATATCATTGATGAAACGTAATCTTATATTGTCTGCTTAGTTTACATAAGCAATGTAACAACCTCTGGCTATATAGAGAAACACATTGCCACGCAGCACAAGCCCGAAGACTGGAACTATATTCTTCAGACGGATTTGTTGTTGATTATTATATAACATTTGTTGTGCGTTAGGTCTAGTGTTAACTCACATCCATTACCGCCGGCACTATTTGATTTTTACTAACGTTTATTTTATTTTTAATATTTAATTTAATTTAATTTAATTTAATTTAATTTAATTTAATTTAATTTAATTTAATTTAATTTAATTTAATTTAATTTAATTTAATTTTATTTTATTTTATTTTATTTTATTCATTTTATTTTATTTTATTTTAATAATTTTTATTTTATTTTATTAAACATTCCGAAAAGACTAGGTAATTAAGGCTACCATATTAGTAGACTGTTGTATGTCTTGAATAAGAACGTGCAATGAAGATGGTAGCCAGTACAAGGCCGCTAATAAATCAATGCCCCATAATTCCGTCACACTTACAATCACGAGTAATAAAACAAGAGATACGTATGATTTCTTTTAATCTGCTCATTATCCGTTACCTTTGCAGCGGGTGCCTTGTTTCATGATGCCTGGGCCCGGGGTCATTACAGGCCATAAACTTGGCCAGCACAGTGCACACTTATTATGGAACTGTTTAAGGGACGACGTCAAAAGATCGATGTCGGATAAAAAACTTAATTCCTTTATTTTTTTCCAAACCCCCCCCCCCCCACTGAAACTTAATTGATAAATAATGGTCATGGCGTTAGACTACATTCACCATTAAATACAAATTGATAATCGGACAGTAGTATTGCAAGCAGTTGGTTGTCGGGTGGGTGTAAAAAGATTTTACAAATGCACCTCATTTGACGCACAGATCTAGATTTACACTCGAAACAAACCATTTTCTCGTCTTGGATGTTTTTTTTTTCCTTTTCGGTTATTTCTATCCATTATTGGATAGTAGAAAAAAAACGAACTACAAATACTCCAAGATTTTTTTGACTTCATTAAAAAATAAAATCGTTTTTGTAGGATGGAAACTTTTTGAGGTCAAAACCCCCCACCCCCAAACTAAAGGAAATACGTTTTTTATCCGACATCGATCTTTTGACGTCGTCCCTAAGTTTGGAAATTAAAACCGTTTTCAATTATACCTCTTCAATGACGTAATCCTGACATATCAACCCCGTTTCATCAACTCAGACTGTTCACGCTATACGATACACAGCTCACAATATGTAGCATGAATCAACTAAATCAGCTGATAGTGAATGACGTAAGCGTTCATATATGATTCATATATCAATATGGCATTTAATTGGTGAGAAATGATACTGTGGTGTGCTTGTCGTTGTCTGTATTTGTCTACAAAGCACCGGATTGCAATCAGATAATACGCTGAAATGATATTGTGTTGTGCGTGTCGTTGTCTGTATTTGTCTACAAAGCACCGGAATGCAATCAGATAATACGCTGAAATGATACTGTGTTGTGCGTGTCGTTGTCTGTATTTGTATACAAACCAGCGGTTTGCAATCAGATAATACGCTGAAATGACCCGTTCAAATTGTATACCGTTATTGACAGACAGATCAGTATCGTAATACTAATAATACTACATATATATAGTCCTAGGTATACTGTTTGAGCACTGTCACGTGTAGATACTTCATTGTTCTAGGAACAGAGAGCGATCTGTATGTTTCATATATATGTTTTAGCAGTTTAGGGAGATACCGTATAGTTCTAGGCATATATCGTTTATGCACCACCATAGGGAGATACCGTCTAGTTCTAGGCATATACCGTTTGTGCACCACCATAGGGAGATACCGTCCAGTTCTAGGCATATACCGTTTATGCACCATAATAGGGAGATACCGCATATTTCTAGGCATATACCGTTTGTGCACCATCATAGGGAGATACCGCATATTTCTAGGCATATACCATTTATGCACCACCATAGGGAGATACCGTCCAGTTCTAGGCAAATACCGTTTGTGCACCACCATAGGGAGATACCGCATAGTTCTAGGCATATACCGTGTGTGCACCACCATAGGGAGATACCGTGTAGTTCTAGGTATACCATTTGAGATGAATGTGGTGTCACGTGGATGTTATTCGTGGGTGTACACTATAGAATAATACTATTAAAAAACTGGATGACATTAAATGCAACTTATGATGGAGTAAACATTGCGTGATGAGTCCAGCTGGCCATGGCGTAGTCCTCTTTAAATACACTGCACATAATATCATAATAGTTGGAGCACTACACCTGGTCTTGTCTCCGGGTACGTCTCTGGATAATAATAATAATAATAATAATAATAATAATAATAATAATAATAATAATAATAATAATAATAATAATAATAATAATAATAATAATATTTTATTATTATTATTATTATTATTATTATTATTATTATTATTATTATTATTATTATTATTATTATTATTATTATTATTATTATTATTATTATTATATTATTATTATTATTATTATTATTATTATTAATATTATTATTATTGATTGGCATTTCCTTAGTGAGATTGTCCATTTATTCAATGCTATATTGTAAGCAGTGTTATAAGTAGTGACTACATGTCTCGTCGCTGGCTATCATATTATATACGGAAGCTGAGACTGCTGTGACTGTTTATGTGAGCGTTTAATGTGATCTGCCTTGCAGTCCATGACGTTGTCAGCATGCTTGTTTTCACTTAGCCAGTACACTTCATATTTTCAATCACGTACAAGTATGCAAGTGGCGCGTGCTACGTATTTGGTAACGTGCTTATAATTCCATATTGCTCTGTTACACTATACAAATCAAACTATAAAAGAAAAAACGGGATATTGCATGTTACTAATATATGATGTACTGAACCATTCTTCCGGACTAACTATCATTATCAACGTTATCGTCTTTGTCACCCGGCTGTGTCAGAATTACCACCCCATGTGGCACGAAATATTGTCCTGTAACGAGTTGGCGGTACTCATTACACATATTGTTTCGGGAAATCCACGGCCGATGCCGTGACTCTGTATCGTTAAGATATTTGCAAAATTAGAAAATTGGCTTTGGCTGACGTCATGGTTTGTGATTACTGCGCATGCATGGTGTAGAAATGACTTCATTAAAAAGACATTGGACAGACAAATGCCGTTGGACTCCCGCCAGATTGGCCGGAAGAAGTCTCTATCTTTCAAGGGCTCACAATTCCGTCACCAAGTGCCCTACATCAGGAATAGAATAACCCAACCTAAACATCATCGCACGTGAGTCATTGAGCGACAAGCCATCGCCCAGCATGACTCGCCTTATTTAGAAACAAACTGCTTAATATGAATGACGTCACAGATCTATCATCCAACCCGGCATCACTTTCACTGGAAATAGAATATTACTAGCGCATGAGTCGGATATAACTGTCAGTAGTACTGTAATTTATGAAGTGGCGGGTAGAGTTGCATTCGACTACTATATAACCCGCTGTCGAACCTTCAGTGTTTATATTCTCTTACGTGGAACGTTTAGTATCAACTCGACATTGTTGAGGAAATAGCGCATGCTTTCTCTTTGAACTGTTTACTGCAGACTTATCGGTACGTAATTAGGTGTTCACTGGACGGTAAGTCACCCCGTGGATGATTCCATGTAGCTTCAGGATGAATGTGTTTAGTTTAATATGACGGGGCAATAGCGCACATATGTTTACAATTACATTGCCTGCTTTTCGTTCTCAGTATTACTACGGCTACCGTGCATTAACAATTCATATTTGTTATTTTTACAGAATAGGTTCATTGGTTCGTACTGTAAACGCATCGCAGTCGTCGTAATCGGTGCGTTGGTTTTTCATCTGGAGAGACGAGAGAACACGCCACCGAACATTTGTATTACTGTCGCAAAGATGACAATAAAAGCAAGGCCTCGGAGTGCCAGTGAGCCGTTTTTAAGTATCAAGAACTTGGTTCCGTTCACGCCGCCTCCAACCCGTAACGTTTATTTGCTAGGTGATTCTGGTGTTGGTAAATCGTCCATCGCCATGCAGTTCGTCAGTGCTTCCTACCTTATGGATCTCAGTGATTTCGACTTTTCAATCTCAGGTCAGAGTCAATTTGATGTTTTTGTGATGGGACATTTCCAACACACATTTTAATACCATTCCCATAGCCCCGAGTGCCGTGTGTACAGTAAGTACGTCGCTATCATAAACACACTGACGATGTTGTTTTTATTAAATTCACGATATTTATGGACGGCACATGGCTACAGTCACCTTATTCTTTGACGTGATACATTGGATATATTACATCGTAGATAAATGCTACATAAAATGTCTTGCATCATTTTTTTTTATTAACAAACCTTCGAAAACAACTTCGGATTATATAGAGTGTAAACGTACCACACACGTATTGGCTAGGGCATACTGTCAAATCAATTGATACTTCGTTCATTTGACGTTGTATTGTGTTATATTATTTATTCGTGTTAAAACTGAAAATCTGTGACACGTTCGTTATTGGTTTAAAAGGTCACGTGTCGACCTGGTGACATATTGTAGTTGACAATTGCGTGGTACTGGACGACGCATGGCTCCGCCTTGATTAACGTGTGTCAATCTAAGCTACTGATTTCGAAATTGTACAAAAAGTAATACTTTAATATACTGTCGAAATTGATGGGTTCGATGATAAATCGATTCCTCGACGCTGTGTCGATTACCTACATGTTATACTGTATGCTCATTTGCCAGACTGTATGGTTAGTACATGAATAACGTCATCCGTCCTATTGATTTGTAATTTCATAATTTAACACCAACAGTTGACAAATTGATCACTTTACGTTTCGGGAGAACTGTGACACTTATACCATCACGGAGCACTGTGGTAAATAATGCTTTCCACTATTATTGTAGGGCGCTCTATAATATACACCAAGGGAATGACAAATCTAAGTACATTGCGACCACCATATGATACCATAACTGTCCCGTTGAATGGATGGGGGGGGGGCTAGCGTTCATTGTACCCGTCATTAAACACGATTGTTCTAGTGATTGTCATGTGACTAGTGCATTAACGGTTATATTGAAATAAGACGTGCTTCCGTCGTTCACTTGTACACAGAAACGATCTTCATAAGCAGTTCTCGACTAA